ATTCCCTTTTGAAAAGCAGGGGTGTTGCCCCCTTATAAATGATAATGTGGTCCCTTTCAAGAATTTCATCGACAATAATGGTTTGGTGGATATTGGTTTCTCCGGGGAGGTGTTCACGTGGTCCAATAACCAACAAGGAGACGATTTGATACGGGAAAGGCTCGATCGAGCTCTGTGCACTTCTACTTGGATGAGATACTTCGTAAAAGCAAGGGTATTCCATGAGGACTTCGTCGATTCCGATCATTGTCCGATCAGGGTGGACCTCCACCACTTCAAACCTTCCAACTACACCCCCTTCCGTTTTGATAAGCGATGGAAGGAAAGTGAGGAGTGTAAGCAGATTATCAAGAACAGGTGGGCTGCTGGGGGTACTGTGCAAGGAATCCTATCTGACTGCCAAAGGGATGTGCTTGCCTGGGCAAAAATGGACAGGGTCGAAAAACTGAGAAGAGAAAAGGAAATAAGACAAAGGCTTCAAGAGCTAAAAGGACCCAGCAGGAATCAGGCTCAGGTAGATGAGGAGATGGTACTCCTTCGCGAGCTGGATAAATTGTGGAGCTCGGAAGAGTCATTCTGGGCACAAAGGTCAAGAAACTGTTGGCTTCAGGAAGGTGATCAAAACACTGGGTTCTTCCATGCCTCTACAATCCGAAGGAAACACAGGAACAGAATTCTTAAACTCAAGGATGCCAATGGAGACTGGATTGATAGTCCTCAGAACCTTGATGACCACGTCAATGGTTTCTATAGGGACCTCTTTCACAGTAAAGGAGGGATGTTTGATCAATCATTATTGATAGGCTTCCCGGGTTTGGTTACTGATGATATTAATGGAGCTCTAACAGCACAGGTTACTAGAGAAGAAATCCGCAAAGCTGTTTTCCAGCTCGGACCGAATAAAGCCCCAGGCCCTGATGGGTTCCCAGGCCACTTCTTTAGGAGTGGCTGGTCTTTCCTGGGGGACACTCTCAGTAATGAGATTCTTGACTTCTTCAGGACAGGAATCATGAAGGATGGTTGGAATGATACGTTTATCACTCTTCTCCCCAAAGTGGACCAACCTGAAATGATTGGCCAATTCAGACCAATTAGTTGCTGTAACTTCAGGTATAAGGTCATCACGAAGATTATGACCAACAGATTGCAACCGTGGCTGCCCGGCCTGGTTAATGAGCTCCAATCTGCATTCACAGGGGGGAGACAAATCCAAGACAACATTATAATTGTGCATGAAGTACTCAACCATTTCAAAAAGAATAAAATGAGAAAGAGCAAGGAGATGATGATGAAACTCGACATGAGGAAGGCCTATGATCTGGTGGAATGGGATTTCCTCATTAACCTCCTCAAAGCTTATGGATTCAATGACAAATGGTCAGTGTTCAAGAAGACGCGCCTAGGCGCTCGCCTAGGCGCTCGCCTAGGCGCGATTAGTTGCTGGGCATGGAGGAAACGTGGAGTATTGGAATGGGCGATTGAGCTGGGCGTACAAAACGCAGAAGCGAGCGGCAAAACGCCTAGGCGGCGGTTCTGCGCGGGTAAGCTCGCTTCCCATCCTTTGTGCGACGCACAGGGTTGGAAAATAAGGGCAAGTTTATCTGCTTTTAACCCGAAACCCATAACCCTACATAGCCCATTTATTTCATTCGACAATTCTGGGAAAGGAGACACTAGCAGCCAGCCACGCGAGAGAGAGACCAGCAGCCACGACATCGTCGTTCTCCAAGCGAGCGAACAGCGCCGCCATCCTCCACGCGAGCGACCAGCGCCACCGTCCTCACCGTCAGAATCGCCATCGACTAGCGCCGTCGTCGCCCATCGTCCTCGTTGGTCGTCGTCGTTCGTCTCTCCATCTGTCGTCGTTCGCCGTCGACGGCCAAGTGAGAGTGGTTTGGGATTCGAGGGAGGGAAAGGGAAAAGTTGGTTATATATGAGGATATTCGATTGATTGATGGTAGGGATGAGAGAGTTAAAAAGAAAGAACAACGAATTCGAGGGAGGGAAAGGGGAAAGTTGGGTGCGACCATTGGTATAATTATATCTGCTTCTTCAAGGGATGTTATCTGTTTGTACTTTGTAGAGTGCAATGTTTGTTCAAGGGCTGCTGTCTGTTTGTAGGGTGAAATGGATTGATATATAATTATATGTATATGAGTGATGCCTCTCAATTTCGTTTGTTTAAAGGCTGTTGTCTTGTGATTGCAGTGAACTTATGACTGTTATGTTTGATCTTGCATGCTAAACTTAAATATATATCATTTTTTTTTATGTTTAATCTCGCCTAGGCAGCGACTAATTGGCCTGGGCGCTGGGCGGTGCCTCCTCGCCTAGATGACGCCTAGCGTCTTCTTGAACATTGCAAATGGTGTGGATGGGTTAGAGCGTGTATCTCGACAGACAATTTCAGGCTTTTGTTCAATGGAGAGCCATTGACCGAGTTCCATCCCTCGCGAGGCGTCCGTCAAGGAGACCCCCTGTCCCCCCTCCTTTTCATCCTAATGTCTAATGCACTGTCGTTCATGATTGAAAAAGCTGCACAGAGACAGATTATCAAAGGCATCAAATTGAACAGGTTTTGCCCAGTCCTCACGCACTGCCTCTTCGCGGATGACACTGTTATCTTTGGTAAAGCGTCAGTTGGGGAAGTTGAAGTTATTCTGGATATTCTCAACGACTATGGATCGATTACAGGGCAGGAGGTCAACAGGGATAAATCGTCCTTTTTCTTCAGTGCCAATGTTCCCCATCATGAACAAGAGCAAATTACCCAAAGTTCTGGATTTGCGGCTAATATTTGCCACTCCAAGTATCTTGGAGTCCCCACAGACTGGGGGCGCTCAAAGAAAGAAACATTCCAGTTCCTCCTGCAGCGTATGGAATCCAGAGGAGAATCGTGGAAAAGTCTCCTCCTCTCCCCTGGCGGAAAAGAGGTACTTCTAAAAGCAGTCTTCCAAGTTGTTCCATCTTTTATCATGTGCCTTTTTCTCCTACCTCGCTCAACAACAAAGAGGATGGACTCCATGTTGAAGAACTTTTTCTGGAGTGAGTCAATGACCAAGAAAACCATCCATTGGAGATCAGGTCATGTGTTATATGCCCCGAAGGAGGAAGGAGGACTCGGTTTTCGACCTTTCCATACTGTCAATCTTGCCTTGCTGGCCAAGCAGGCTTGGAGAGCTATCACCAGCCCGGATGTTCTGTGGGTGAAGGTTCTGAAGAGCATCTATTACCCGAAGTCTGATTTTTTGAATGCAAAGAAAGGTGGAAAAGCGTCCTGGATCTGGGCTAGCTTATGAGAGGCGAAGAAGTGGATGAAGCAGGGGATCATCAGGGTGATTGGTAACGGTAAAACGACTAGGATGTTCCAAGACCCTTGGAGGTTTGATAGGCCAGGACCTCTTCTCCAGTTCGAATGGCCGGATGGTTCGACTGTTGGCCAATGGATTGATGGGATCAACAGAGCTTGGAGGTTCGACCTCCTCGCTGATTACCTCAGCCCAATGGAGCTCCATTAGGTCTCGGCCACCCCGATTGGGCCGGACTCCCTTGAGGATATCTGGGCATGGAGATTCACAGACAATGGAGATTTCTCGGTGAAATCTGCATTCCACCTCTTCCACAATCAAGTTCGGATGAATCAATATAATTAGGATGTTGATACATCTAGCAAAGAAAGTTGGAAATGGCTTTGGAGCCTCTCCCTTCCTCCGAAGCTTAAGTTCTTTGTATGGAAATGTACGAGGGAGGCACTGGCATCTAAAGAGAATCTGTACTCCCGAAGCTGCTCAGTCACCAAATCCTGCCCCATTTGTTTGGATAGTACTGAATCGATCAATCATATCCTCTTCCTCTGCCCCCACGCGGCAGCAGGATGGTCGCAAGATTGGCCCTCACTGATCCTCCCCCCTGCTCACCCCCATTTTGGATTGGCTCTTCTCTGTGCAGGCCAGGTACAATACTGGCTTGATCCAAAAGTTTATCTTCCTTATGTGGCAGACATGGAGAACGAGAAATGAGTTCATTTTCAGGGGCAATGCCCCTTGGCCCCCGTCCATGAGCTCCCGAGCTATTCTGGCCGCCCAACAATGGAACGAGTGTCCTAGGAAACCACCATTGGTTCCCCCGCCCATTCAGCCTGCTCCATCCCCGGATCATACTACTCCACCGCCAAGTATTCATGAGTTTGAAATACACTGTGATGGTTCTTTCTTTGAAGCATCCCAGGAGGCGGCTTATGGCGTCGTAGTCACGAATGCCCATGGACAAGTCTGTAACTCACTGGCTTCAGCCGCACTTAATAGAAAAGCATTGCCTTTGGTAAAAAAAAAAACTCCTAATCTCGCCCACCCCACCCTTTGTCCTCCTAATATCATGTTTGGAAGACACCACTTAATTTTGGAATACCCACTACACCCTTGCCTCATGAGAACCGTCAGATTGTAGAAAAAAGCATTAAAAAGAATTGGACGAAGATTACCGCAGTTAGCACGGTGAAGGGTTAGCATCTCATCTCATTCCCCTCCTTAAGCAATGAGGCTTAAGGACCGGATCCAACCCAACATCTACGCACTCAACTCGACCGTGTTATGAGTAGGGATGGCAAAATATCCGATATCGTGGATATTCGCCCAAATCCGACCTTATTGGGTAGGATAAAACCGGAACTCGAATGATTTTTGGCGAGTACGGGTAAAACCCCGACCCGAATTTTGTGGATAATGGGTGGGCATGATTTTCTCACTACCAACCCCAACCCGCCTAATTATACATATGAATATGTATTTTGTCTGGAAATGATCATTATTTTTCTCAATATATTTTATATTTAGCATACAAATATATTATTTTCATGAAATTGTGTTGTTTTTATTAATTTTCTTCATTCTAGTGATTTATTATTATACCTTTTCTCTTCTATAATGTGAGTATACATGTGAATGTTAACATTTTGTTGAAGTTATATAGAGAAATATTACCAATGGCATGGATACCCGAACCCGAATGGATATGAACATTTTTTATTTATTTTCTACCCGATTCTTATGTGGGTATGGGTATGGATAAAATCCGAACAGCTTTGGTAGGGTAGCGGATATGCACTATCCGCCCCTGACCCGACCCGTTGTCATTCCTACTTGTGCGGGCTCTTGGTTAGGGCGACGATCATGATTATGCCCAAGTTCAACGTCGAGGCTCTCCTAGTGCAGATTCATAGGTACAGGATCACCATCGTGCCATGGTATTGTCGATCACGAAATCGCCAGACACGGAGAAGTACCCCTTGTCGTCGCCCCATGTCCTCCACCTCCGTCGCGGTTACCGCCAAAAATATCTCTCCACCCCTTCGTTCGACGTCGCCGCCCTTGGCTAACTCTCCGTCTTCTCATTTCATTGCAACCTAGGGCTCCAACTACTCATTCTGATAAGCATTTAAAGAGGAATCTAGAGGTTGCAGAAGAAACGACCGCCACTAAATCGATTTTGCTTTCGAGCAGAAAAATCGAAGAAGAAGAAGAAGAAGAAAAGAGGAAGAAGGAAGGCGAAAGTAGAGAGGCGGGGGCGTAATGGGTGGCTATTAATGCACAACACATTATTTCATAATAACGCAAAGACGAGTTATTTGAAATAACTCATACCCAAACGATCAATTACCCAATTTCATATCTCAACGAATTATTTTGATTCAAATAACTTACAATAAATTATTTGAAGCAAAATAACTGATGAGAATAACTCATCCAAACCACTTCCTAAATTTATAATATGGTTGTATTCACATTCACACCGAGGCTATAAGGCCGTGCTAGGATTGGCCGGTCTGAATTTCGCAACAGTGTGAAAGCGACTAAGCAATGAAGCAAAGGCAAAGCGCATGTTGTTCCATGTGTGAAACGTTGTTCATACTTCATAGACATAGTTCTCTCCGAAATTTCCAACGCAACGCTCCTCCACCATCCTCTTCATTTCTTCTTCTCCTTCCTTCCATTTTCCTTGGTATTAAAAGTTCCGTAGCAACACATACCTGAATTCCAACTCATTGTCGGATCTTGCCTGCTTAGTTCTCTGGTTCTTAAGAAAGGGTCGCTGACTTCGTCGAAGAGCTCAAGTTCTTGACGACGGAAGTTTTCTTTTCCCCCCTTTTTGCAAGAGAGCGAATCGTCTATTGATCATCGAGAAACAATGGAGAAGGCAATCAATAGACAGAAAGTTCTGCTCGCCCATCTGCAACCCAGCTCTCAAAGTCAAACCCGAGAATCGCCCATCCTATCCGTGAGTTTTCTCTCTGCTTTTTTCCTTCTGATTCGGCCTCTTCTTTTACTCCACGGGATGGAATCCGTTTCTGAAGTAGTCTGCACTGGGTTGCTTTATTATGAACCAAAGGCTTCAACTTGCGGCGCTGGGGATAGCGCGGCGTACCAGCGAGCTGCTGCGTTTGGGGATGACGTCGTGATTGTGGCGTGAGATTCGGGTTTTCATTTTTTATAGCCTGACCTGTTACCTGTTTGTGAAATTGTCTCAATGAACTTCCTTTTTTCTGTTTTATTTTCTGGGTTTTGATCGTTGGTCCGCAGAGCTTATCGAACTGCCATATGCAAATCCAAGCGTGGTGGGTTCAAGGATACCCATCCTGATGATTTACTTGCCCCTGTTCTGAAGGTCTGTCGAAGACGACTTCTTTTGATATTTTAGACTGTCCTCTTCTTTTCATTTGAGTAAAGCAAAAAAAATCGTAATCGAGTCATTTTCCATTTTGACACAGCTTATGCAACGTACTTGCAGGCAGTAATAGACAAAACGAATGTTGATCCAAGTGAAGTAGGGGATATAGTGGTGGGTACAGTTCTTGCTCCCGGCTCCCAGAGGGCCATTGAGTGCAGAATGGCCGCTTTTTATGCTGGTTTCCCTGGTAACTTTGCCGCAATTCTTCATCATCTGCTTATAATTTTTCCTCAAAGTTAACGGGATCTTTCAGCTGCACATAGGAAGACTTGAGGATATTTCTTGTTTGCGCCCCAAGGATGAATCTTCATATCTTCTGTTGGAATTATTCATCTAGCTTTGTTATTCCACCAGATACCGTGCCTATCAGAACAGTCAACCGGCAGTGCTCTTCTGGCCTGCAGGCAGTTGCTGATGTTGCTGGTTCCATCAAAGCTGGATTTTATGATATTGGTAAGCCTAATGGTGGAGACTTGGGACGTTCCATTCTTTTGGTCACTCAACTCATACTTTTTACTGCTACTTGACCCTTCTTTTCCAACACAGGCATCGGAGCTGGTCTAGAGTGCATGACAATTGATAACATCAGAGGAGTTCAAAAATATAATCCCAGGGTAAATTAGGCTCCTGCTAGTTTGAGGAATCATTGATCTCTTCCCCTTTCTTCTTTTTGTTGGTTTTTAACGAATGCTGACATGGATGACAACAGATTGAGAGCTTTGTTCAAGCCCGGGATTGTCTTCTTCCAATGGGTGTCACTTCTGAGAATGTAGCCCAGCGGTATGGGGTGACAAGGCTAGAGCAGGACCAAGCTGCCGTGAGTTACCTAAAGCCAAAAATTTATGCAATGACTACCTAGTGCAGCTCTAATTAGTGTGCTCTTCACATGTTCTCGTTGATTGTTGCTTAGGTTGAATCTCATCAAAAGGCTGCTGCTGCAACAGTCGCTGGTAAATTTAAAGATGAGATTATCCCGGTTTCCACCAAGGTAAAACAGTACAAGTTCAGTGGGTTTGCCGAATTCTTCTCTATGTTCACTGGCTTCTAAATAAGTAGACTGAACTTATGGTGGTTGTTTAAGATTCTTGACCCTAAAACTGGGAAGGAAATGTCTGTGATGATCTCGGTGGATGATGGGATTCGGCCAAACACAAACATTGCAGACTTGTCCAAGCTGAAGCCTGCATTCAAGAAGGATGGGTCTACAACTGCAGGTACTTGTCAACGTCTGAAAGCAACTTTCCTTATCTGTGTCAGCAATGGTGGACTTATGGTTCTTGTCCAAATCTATGTCAGGTAACGCTAGCCAAGTGAGTGATGGTGCTGGAGCCGTCCTCCTTATGAAAAGGAGTTTGGCTGTTCAGAAGGGACTTCCCATTCTTGGTGTTTTCAGGTACTTATCTTTTCCTGGTTGTTCCTAATTCCTATCACGTCTATCTTTCTGGACTAGGTGGTGTGTACAGTTTAATGCACTTGGTTGCCTAGTTTGGTAGTCCAGAAATATCTGGTATCCGTTCCCTGGTTTTCGAACCCTCGAGGATCTTAAAGTTTTTTTTTTTTTTTTTTGGTTTGATAAGTGCTTATTAATAATGAAAAACAAGTTAAACAAAAAAGGACAGCACAGGATCACAAGGTCTGATCCTGGCTGACCACAGTCACATAAAAACAAGACAAGAGAGAAAGCAAGAGCAGAGCCAGGTCAACCGAATCACCCACTGCATCTGCATAGAGAACACAACAAAAACCCTGAACAACAACGCGCCACAACCAAATCTCAACACTTACCAACAACAAAGTTGCATAATAAATGTCAGCCCCAAGGCTGAACCAAAACAAAACTCCCATCAAGGAGAAGAAACTGGTATTGCACGAACCTCACATCTATGTTGCTTTGTTTCTCCCCTGTTCAGGAGTTTTGCTGCTGTAGGTGTGGACCCTGCTGTGATGGGGATAGGTCCCGCTGTTGCAATTCCAGCTGCGGTGAAAGCAGCTGGACTGGAGCTTGCTGACATCGACCTCTTCGAAATTAATGAGGTGAAATTGGGTTTGGATTTCTTAGTCCCTTATTTTTTCTGTTTTTTTTTTCCTTTTGAGGCGATAGTGGTGAGTAGTAGCAGAAAGAAAGAAAGAATGCATGGTTTGATATCCAAACATCATTTTTGTCCTTGGTTACCTTCCAGGCCTTTGCATCTCAATTTGTCTACTGTCGCAAGAAGCTAGAGCTCGATCCAGAGAAAGTCAATGTTAATGGCGGTGCAATGGCTCTTGGGCACCCTTTGGGCGCCACAGGGGCTCGCTGTGTGGCCACTCTTTTGCATGAGATGAAGCGTCGAGGAAGGGACGCTCGTTTTGGAGTCATCTCAATGTGCATAGGTTTGTCTCCAGAATTTTGGCTTCTCCATTCCCAATGCATGACTTTCATTTCCGAATCTGACTTTTTCTGCAACTGCAGGCTCAGGAATGGGAGCTGCAGCTGTTCTCGAACGAGGAGACTGCGTAGACGAACTTAATAATGCACGAAGCGTTGGCAACTAGTGGCACCCTCGTATGGAAGAAAGCTCTTTTGCCTTTTCGTTACGTTCCAATTGTCTCCACAACATCAGCGACTTGCGTGTAATGCAAGGATGCTGTTTAGAGTGCCAAGTATAAGCTCTACCGTTAGTGGCCATCTAATGATAGCTGCCAGTACTAAAGAGTATATCACCGAATAAATTCGTGTGTTTGAGCTGGATTTAGCAACAATCCCCACCTTCGTTTTATTAGACATCTTTTTTTCTTTTGCGTGTGAAATTTATGAGACGTTTTCACAGCTTTTTTTTTTTTTTTTTTGAGAAGCAGAGCGCAGGGGCGCTTTAACCCTTATATATTAATCGAACGGGGCATCTGAACCCCAATAAGATCATACATCAACCAATAACTCAACTGAGGGCTCGGAGAGTCAAGCAGGTGAACTCCAACCGGTAAATCATGGCTAACAGAAGCCATATAATCCGCAACATAATTACCCTCCCGAAAAACATGATCAATACTGACCTCCCAGTCCCTTGCCAATAATCTGCGAATAGCAGCCATCATAGTGTAATGGGGATGATTCACTTGGTCTGACTGCAAAAGAGATATCGCTGCTGCCGAGTCGGTCTGTGGCTTGACTTTGCGTGCTCATGTCTCCCACGCGATGCGTAATCCTTGGGCGATCCCTGCAAGCTCAGCGTGGGTGATCGATCCTCCTCCCAACTTAACATAAAAAGCCTTGATAAACCTTCCATCACTGTCTCGGATGACTCCGCCGGCCGTTGCAATACCCAAAGCTGAGATCACCGATCCATCCGTGTTAACTGCGATCCAACCCGATGGAGGAAGCTGCCAGTTGATCATGTGAATCGTCCGTCTTCTAGGCCCTTCCATGACGTCTTGTGCTTTGGTGAAAGCTTTGTCCGACTGCTCCCTCGCATACTTTGCTCTCGCCGCCAGGCCCTCCATTGGGAAGATTACTTCATCAAAGACCAACTCGTTCCTATTCTGGCACAACTTCCAACAGAGGATACCGAAAAGAGATGCGTCCAGCGCTTTCCCTCGCCCACTGAGGTAATGCAAGAACCAACGCCTGCTATCCTGTTCGAAAAAATCCGAGTCCGGCTCATCCTGCAGCACAAATGACCAAACTCCTCTTGCATAGGGACAATCTCGTAAAACATGGATGACCGATTCAGGTCCCCTGCCACATACTTGGCAGTGGCTTGACTGCGATAGATGGCGTCGAGTTCTCTATGCATTTGTGAGAAGCCGCCCATGCAGCGGTAACCACAGAAACGTCCTCGTTCGCTGAGGTCCCTGAAACCTCCAGGCCTTCTTCCAAATAGGGTGCGACTGAGCAGTATATGCACCCGCTCTCGTTAGCTCATACGCTGTTTTCAAAGTGAACATTCCCGAGTCTGAATAGCGCCAAAACGGTGTGTCTGGGTTATTTCCCACGGGAACAGGATGCAAGCACAGCTGAGCCACTACTTCGTCGGGGAGGAAAGATCGAATGAAAGGCAGGTTCCGGTCATCATTAAGCACCATCTCAGCGACAGTCTAGTCTCTAGCCGCATCTGGAAGTCTGTGTGCAGCGGAGGCCAAGGGTTGGCCATCAGTGAGCCATCTGTCAGTCCAGAAGCGTACCTACAGACCACTATTGACATTCCACATTGTTCCCTCCGGAATGAGATGCAGGATACGGATTATCCCTCTCCACAAATTGGACAGGCGACCCTCTTCCCTGGCCCTCCAACCATTTTCAGTCTTCCTCAAATACTTCCCTTTAATCACTTGAGTCCAAAGACTATTCTGCTTCGTAAATAAACGCCAAGCAATCTTGATCATAAAAGCTTCATTCATATGAGTGGCGCTTGGCAATCCCAGACCTCCTTCCTCTTTTGGTGCACATAGAGTGTCCCAGTCAAGGAGATGAATTTTCCTTCCCTGGTCCGAACTTCCCCATATAAATCCTCGTATCTTTCTATCGATGTAGTCACGAACCGCTGCTGGGAGCCAGGATGTCTGCATAGTGTAGGCTGAAAGGGACGAAAGTACCGACTGTGCCAAAGTAATACGACCCGCCAGGGAAAGGGATCTGACCTTCCAGCCCGCCAATCTAGTGTCGATTCGGCCGATTAGCTCTGTGTATGTTTCCTTGGAGACGCGGTCGTGGATGGCTGGTACTCCCAAGTACCTTCCCAGATTAGACGTAGCTGGTATACCCAGGGCATCACTTAAAGTGCTGGTCTTCGTACTTGTGACATTCTTCGAGAAGTAAACCCTCGACTTCGCCCGATTCACTTGCTGACCTGATGCCGCTCCAAATTCCTCAAGACAAGCTATAATAGCCTACAACTGCGACAGTGATGCCTCACCAAATAAAATCAATCGTCAGCAAAAAAGAGATGTGAAAGCTGTGGTCCCTCGTGTGAAAGCTGAATCAGTTTCCACTCTCCCCGCTCTACTGTCGTCGTGATTAGATGTCCCAGCCGTTCCATACAAAGGGTGAAAATGTAGGGGATAGCGGGCAACCCTGTCTTAGTCCTCTCGAAGGTGAGAAAGCTACAGTGAGGCCACCGTTCCACTGAATTTGCATGGTCGCATATGAAATACACTTCATAGTAACCTCCGTAAAGCTTGGAGGCGCTCCCACTGCCTCCAGAGTCTCTCTTACAAAGCTCCACTTTATACGATCATATGCTTTGGCTAGATCAATTTTAAGAACCATCCAGCCCTTCTTTCCTTTCTTAGCACGGATGGAATGAAATCCTGCAAAACACAAATGTTGTCAGTAATGTGGCGGCCCGGAACAAAGCTGGTCTGGGTCTCGTGAACCAGTCTGGGCATTAGTGGCTTGAGCCGCTCTGCCAGACACTTGGTGATCATCTTGTAAGTCACGTTGCAGAGGCTGATGGGACGGAACTACTTAATAGTTGATGGACGCCCCACTTTGGGGATCAGTGCTACAACCGTCGCATTCATCTCGCCAATCTTGGCGGGATTAGTCCGGCAGGCTTCCACAAATTTCAAAACTGTCGGCCCAACCAAACTCCCGTTTCACTGGAAGAAAAGGGGGTTCAGTCCATCCGAACCCGGGGACTTGAGCGCTCCCATCGCCTTGACTGCCCAGGAGAGCTCTTCCATGGTGATATCGTTTTCAAGTGGCACCCAGCAATCTGGCGAGAGAGGCGGGAAAGACGCCGGCAAAGGATGGATCGGCTCACCGTCATCAGTGTATAATGCTTCAAAGAATTGCCTAGCCATCTCAAGTAAAATAGACTGATCCTCCACCCAAACTCCCAGACTATTTTTTAGAGAGGTTATTCTGTTCCGTCGCCGTCTAGCCACTGTTCTCGCATGAAAGTACTTTGTGCTTCGATCCCCTGAAGCAATCCAATCCAAGCAAGATTTTTTACACCAAAGTAACTCTTCCTGCAACAGGATGTCTTCAAGCTCCTCTCTAGCATGTTTCAGCCCCATGTCGTCGGAATCCCCTCCAACTCTCTGTTCGATTCGCTCGATCCTAGCCAACAGTAAGCTCTTCTTTTCTAAAATATGGCCATACACGTTAGCATTCCACTCCCTAGCTTCCTTGGTGAACTCCATAATGGATGACAATAAATCATTCCCCCGTCCCCAGGAACGAGCTACCATATCCTTAAAATCATCGTGCGTCAGCCATGCAGCTAAGAATTTGAAAGGTTTCGGTCCTGCAGCCTAGTAGCTCGGACACAGTTTCGGCAGGAGTGGACGATGGTCACTTCTTACCCGAGGTAGGTGGCAGACCGTGGTATCTCGGAACATCGATGCCCAGGCTGCGTTCGAAAGGCCTCTATCAAGACGTTCTTTCACCCCTGCCCGAAACCAAGTAAAAGGCGGCCTCGTGAATCCCAGGTCCACCAACCCTACATCAAGCACACAATCCTGGAACTCACTAGCACAACTAGCATCAAAAGACGCTCCTCCAAACTTATCACTTGGCTGGAGAATGGAGTTAAAATCGCTCGCCAGGAGCCACGGCTCCACCATATCCTCCGCTATAGATCGGATGGAGTGCCAAAGTTCCCGACGTTGTATGAGTGCCGGATTGGCATAAACTGCTGTAAGAAACCAACTCTGTAGACCAAGCTGGACTTGTACATGGAGGAACTGAGAGTATCTATCGGATTCCATAATTGTGATCGTTCCAGAATCCCATACTAGCCAGATACCCCTGCGAAGCCCACCGCATCTACCACGAGGTACTTATCATACCCCAACTTATCAACAACTTTAGTCTCTCTATCACCACTGATCCTAGGTTCCACTATTGACTCACTTCTACTGTCACCCTAGGAATTGGCCAAGTGAAACCACTTCCTAAAGCGTAGTATAGCGGGTTAGGTTTATATGTCAACCCGGGTCTTAGATCTGATGACTACTCAGTGAATTCTTGTTATCTAGCAATGAAACTGGAATGCAAGTCTAAACTATCAAACTAGAAAGCAAGTAAACTGTTGTATTCAGGTTAAGAGAGGTCACCCGGATATGGTTCCCCCTAGACTGCAGTTAAGCCGGATTGTAATTACCAAGTTCAGTTTCTATGATAGTTATACTGCGGAAGAATCTCAAACAGCCTGAAGTCTCGACTAAAGGTCTTCAGACCCTCTAAATCTGAGTCTCTAGCGGGCGACTAACCTCCACCGGAGTAAACAGATTGAGGCCTTAACAAACAAAACCTCCACTACCGGAGTGAATCCGGTACAGAATAGTGAGTTGGCTCCTCGACTAAAGTCACCAACTCCCTACCTTCAATCAAGGATGCTCTATCAACCTAGGCAGATATTCTCATTCTAGGTTAAAGCAGAAACAACAGAAATTTGATCAGGATTCAAGTCATTCAATCATTCAAACCTCAATCGAATATAATCAAATCATAGAATCAGTACTTGGGTTCATACAATCAAAGCCTAACATACAAATCTAGGGTTCTCCATACCCAGATGAACGGGAGAACTACTCCATGGAGAAAGAAGCAAAAGCAGAATCAGACGCGGAATTCATACTGTGAAGGATGGATTCCTGCTCCTGGACGTTGATCGGCACTTCTCCAAGCTCAAACTGGCCTCCAATGGTGTTGAAGATCAAGCTAGGGCGCTTGGAGACTCTTGTTCGTCGCTTTCTCTCTCTAGGAACTGATCTCTCTCTCTAAAACTCGAATCCCCTTCTGTTTGGCTGAAAATCTGCTTAAAAGGGCATCAGTGGCCAAAGCACGGTCGAGGGCACGGCCGTGTAATGCCTCAGCC